GCTTTGGACCATGGCCCAAGCCTTCTCCATGCGGCAGAAGCTCTCACCTCTGGGATCTGGCCAGTCTCTGGAGTAGTCCAGAACCTCTAGATGTTCCCTTTCCTTTGTCCTGAATCTTAACAGGTGTTTGTGTGAAAAGTACTGAGTTAATATAGGCAAATCTGCTTTTAAAAAATGCCTGGCATTAAATGTTAGCTATTATTAAAATTTGATGACTAGCATTGTTTATTGTTATTGTAAATCAAAATTATAAAAATACACAGTGCGTATATTCTTACATTTACTATTATGATTCATTTTATTCTTGGAAGTCCCCACACAGCTCTATCAATAGCGTGACATTTGCCTTTCCAAGGCACCTTCCTGCACAGCTCTGGGGCTGGCATGCCTACAGCCTGTTTAGAACCCAGATTATTCAGGCCTAGTAGGTGTTTCCACAAGATGGCACAATTGAAAAACTCATAGTTGTTCTTTGTTTTCATTTTCTGTCTTAGTGAAACATTTGGGATTTTTAAGTGCAACAGAGCAAACAGCCTCGTGACGTGCATCTCAATTTCGACAACTGATTTCATGCTCTCTTGACAATCACACCACATTTCCTACAGCTACAATTTTTTTTTCCTACTAAGACGATCTCTCTTCCCGCTTATGCCAACATGGGCTCTGCTGGCTCCAAAGCCCACCGAATGCTTTGTATGCTATGTCCAAATGCTGGCCTGAGATAGCTCCTATCAGCCTTACCCGCAAATCAAGGCTCGCATCTGCCCCGCCCCGTACCTCTGTGTTTGAGAGCTGGAACCATGGCTGCTTTCCATAGGTGAAGATCTCCCAGAGAATCACCCCAAAGCTCCACACGTCACTCTCCGTAGTGAACTTCCGGTACATGATGCTTTCAGGGGGCATCCAACGGATGGGGAGCATGGTGTGTCCTCCCACCTAGAAGAGGTCGAGACAGAGGCACACACAGAGTGACCGGATGGCTGGAATCAGTTGCACCAGTCTAGATACACTCCTGATGCATCTTAGCCTAAGAATAGCCACAATGTGATGCAACTTTTGCGTCAGAGGGCCAAGCTCTACAATACTGGAGGCAGCTAGGACAGCAGTTAGAGGTGACAGCTAAGGGACGATCCTTGGCATGGCATGTAAAGAAAATCACAAGATGATCTGAAGTGAGAGAGGAGGTTTGAGAATCTGATACTATAGTGAAATCTAACCTTGAGAGGACGTCCAGAGGGAAGTCACAGAATCACTGAGCAAGGCTACCAAGGATCAGAGTATTTGCAGACATTAGGTTAGACTCCTTGGCCAAGAAGGTTGAAGCACAATATGATCCAGGTGGATCTAATCTGTGGAAATACATTAGCTTCTTCCCCTCAATTCTGAATTTCTCACTGCAACTTAGAACTCAGTGTTTCAAGTGAAAGGGAAGAGGGTAGTTTAAAAGTATGGGAGATCACCTGCTAATAAGAAATCGGGTGGACTGGAAGAGAATTCACAACAGTTCTTAGCAAGATCGCCAATGCCAGTAAGGAGAGTGTCTTTTAAAACATCCTAAGGAGGACATTGGCCATCTCTGGGTTTACAGATCTGAGAGCCAAGGGCAGAGGAAGTGACTGACATTCAGGGTATCCTTCCCTGAGGAAAAACATTAGGGAAATCATCACTGCCCAGCAGGTTACACACATTATTAGCATAAGTGGAAGAAAATCCACAGCGTGTTTCAGAACTCGGGAATGAACCGCATCACTCTTAAATAGAGCATTAGAAATTGGAACTTTTGGCTAAGCCATGAAACTTGTTGGAAAACTGATTTCCATTAATTGAAAAAAAAAGAGCTCTGTATAGATGTCCTGAATTATTAAGCAGTTCTTATTTCTATGATGGGCCAGTTGGAAGAATTAGAATAATAAACACTTAAGAAGGAATGACTTGTTAGGAGATGGGCAATCTTGTTTCTAAAAAAAAAAGAGATCATGTTTGCCTTATCCCCTTGAAGTAGTTTAGAAGGTAAATGGTAGAAGTTGTTTCCAACCTGAGATTTCATAATCAAGATAGCTCTGTGTCAACTGTGAAGACACATGAAGATGTTTCTTTCAGACAAGCAAAGGCTCAGAAAGTTTACCACTCCCAGCCTTTCAGAAAAACGAAGAGGCAAAAATTAACTGAGGATGTACTCCAGGAAAACAGAAAAGGGAATCTGACATAGACAATGACTTGGAACATAGCAAACAGTGCAGAGCAAATAAGCCACAAAAACACAGTTTAGATCTAAATAATGATTGTTAACGTGACAGTAAAATGTAATTTAACTACTAATAAAAGATTTCTGTAAAATAGAGACATAAAGGAAATAATAATACTCATAATGCTAAAAGTACTGTCATTGCTACTATTAACAATATTCTGGAATGAAACTACCAGATAATGTCAACAATAAGGGCATAGGAGAGTAGGTACAGAAATAATTAAAAGCCTGATAAAGGCTTTGTCTTTTATACAGGAGGGCAAGGGAGCTCACGGATAATAGGCAATTGTTGATTATGATAGTTTAAATTTAAATGTGTTTGCTAAAATTTTAAAGTAGCTTCCAGAAGAACAGAAATAGTACATATAACTTAGAAATCAGCTTTAGGAAAATAGAACCAAAAATCTCTAACCAATATCAAAAAGACCACAGAAGTGGGGAGTGGGATAATGGCGAATAGAAAGCACAAAAATAAAAAAGTTGAAATAATATCACCACAGATAATGAGAACAAATGGACTGCACTACCTCTTAAATAAGAGAAAAATTTCTGGCAAAAAATCAAGATGTGTGTTATTTAGAAAAGATACATCTGAAAGGAAATAGCAGAAAATGCTGAAAATGAAAGAATGCAACAAACAGTAAAAGAAAAACTGAATATATATTGAATATGTAATGTGCATCATATTCAATATACATAAGATATAATATAGTGTAATGTATAATTGAATATAGTATATATGAATAGGTAATATTCAATATGTATAATATATATGAATATATAATATTTAATATACAATATATTGAATAGATAATTCATACATAGTATATTGAATATATATCACATATATATTCAATACAGAATATATTAAAAGTTGAATATACATATGAAAAAAAGTTAGAAAGCCAAAAACTAAATGGAGATAAAGTGGTTTACATCGTATTTGAAGACTGTAAAATTTGCCATTATGAAAATTATGAACTTTTTGCTCTAATTAACATAGTGACAAAAATGTATAAAAAGTAAAACAGGTTATAAATAAAAGAAAACTGACAAAACTGCAATTATAATGGAAAATTAAAACACTTATTTTGCAAATTGACAGATCAAGAAGACAATAAAAATGAAGATACATTTTAAAAATACAAATAATATGAGTGCTGTGTGTATCTTCCAGCCTCCCAAAAAAGGTGCACATTATTTTCAGTTACCTAAAAAGCATTTATGAAAACCAATCACATGTTATATCTCAAAGGAAATCTTGAAATTCCAAGAGTTTTGAAAAACAAAGTAAACAGAAGCTAAGCATAAGATAAAAGAAGAAAAGTCATTCTTTCAAAAGATGCCACAAATTACCAACACCCTTTCCTGATTAAAAGCCCTAATTCATTAGTAATAGAAGGTAACTTGCTTTATTTAACATATGAAATATCATATTTACTGATAAAATATTGAAAGCTTAGAAGGTATCTTCTATTACTGATTTTACACAACACACTTCAGTTGGCCCTAGCCAATGCAATAAAGCAGGAATAAAAACAAGGAAAAAATACTGAAAAGGAAGAGTCAAAACTACCACTGTTGGCATAGTTATGACAGTTCAAGACAACTAAAAAGCAGTTAGAACCATTATGAGTTAGTAAGACATAAAACGAATATGCACAAACCAAACTGTTCTCATATACCAGCAGCAATGACTTCAAAATTCAATGGAAAATGAAATTGTTTGTATAACAGCAACAACAACGACAATAGTGCTTCAAGTTCTCAGGCATAACACTTGGCAGAAAATTTATGAGTTCTGAATAAAGAAAAGTATTGATAAACATAAATGATCTGAATACATGGAAAGATGTGTCTTTTCCTTGGATAGGAAGATTCAATAATCATAAATCTCTCATTCTTCCCTAAAATTAATCTAAAAATTTGACACAATCTAAATAAAACCCTCAGTGGAATGATGTATGGAAATTGACAAGATGATACCAAAATTCATCCAGAGCTGTAAATCTTTGATAAAAACTAAGATATACTCGAAATAGAACAACAAGGAATAGTTGCTCTATCAGATAGCAAAACATATTATCAAACTACAATAACGAACACACTGTTATTGGCAGAGGAATAGACAAATTGCATTGATCAATGGAACAAAATAGAGTCCAGAAGCAGACTCATGTATAAATACTGAAATTTAATAAATGAAATGATGGGTTAGTTATCAGTGTTGGGACAATGAACTATTCATTTAAAAAGTACACTTAGATACCTACCTCACACCATATACAAAAATCATTTCCAGATGGATTAAAGAGCTAAACATAAAAAACAAAACAATAATCATATTAGAAGAAAACTTAGAAAAATATCTGTATAACCTCAGGAGAGGAAGGCCTTCCTAAATAAGACACATAATCAAGAAGCCATACAGGATAGAATTCAGAGATACAACTTGTAAAAATTAAATACCTGTGTATGGCAAAATACAAAATAAGCATATTAAAAAGACAAATGACAGAGGAAACATTTGCAATATATGTGCCAAATAATTAAAATCCATATATTATAAAGTGCTTCTTTAATTAAAAAGAAACCCAACAGAGAAATGAATCATGAAATCAAATGAATTCCTAAGAGCAGATGATCCACCAAAGAGCTACACATGGCCACAAACACATGAAGAGGTTAATTAAAGCAAAAAAGAGACACTTTTTTTTTTAATATCATGTGGATGAAATTGAGGAAGACTGGTAATACCCAGCGCATGAGAGACTAGGAGGAAAGTTATCGTCAATTTTCTTACTCTGGGGCAGGCTTTTCTGAGGGCAGCTTGGCAGAATCTGTCCACACTAAAGATGTCAAGTGCCTTTTAATCCATTAATTTCACTTCTAGGAGTTTTAGAAAAACACTTGCTCATGTAAGCAAAAGTACTTGGTTGAGGGTATTTTATATGCTCGTTTTTAAGGGCAGCAATTTGTTCATAATTAAATGTATATGCAGCAGTTAAAAAGAGTACAGTAGAGTTATGTGTACTGATATGTAAATATGTCCAGGATGTATTAAATGAAAACAAAAACATTAAAAATATGTATTAGCATTCTCATCTGTGTAAAAGTGTATCAGCATAAGCAAATATATTAAAAGGCAATAATACATAGCTCTGTAAATGCAAAGAAAAAAAGGTCCAGAAAGTTAAAGCAAATGTGAGAACTGACCAAAGAGAAAATTCCATTTTTTTCCCTGTAGTATGTATTTGTATGCTGTTTGTAACTTTATCATGATCATGTACCACATTTGAAAATTTTAACACAATAAAAGGAGAAAAAAATAAACATATGACTAAAGGAAAACCAGTGAACAAAATTTCCTTAAGTTTTAAATCAAAAGATTGTTTTTTAAGAAAACATAGGTTTTTAATAGACTCTGGTCAATTGATTTGTTGTACCTGGTTTCTTGATTAAAAATTAAAAAGAGATCAGGAATATAGGAACATTTCTCTTGATGAAAAATGGTAAATTCCTCCAAATTGATGCTGGTGTTTGCCTCATTGGGTGATTTTATAGACAATCCCAAAGACCCATTCCAAATGGAAATTTTCAAGTTAACAAAGAGAGAGAAATTTGAGTTTGCTGGTGTAAACTTTGATGAGCTTAAGTGTTTGGGCAGAAAAACTACCAGAAGGGTATTAATTGGCCACAGGGGTCCCACTAAGAAGAATTTTATCAAGATTTTCACTGGGTGGCACCACCAATGTGGGTGAAGTTTATAAGGCACTCCTCTGGAAGTGAAATATTTCAAGTGGCCTGAGATGTAACAACAACAACAAACGGCAGTAAATTGGAAGTCAGCAGCCCTGGGTTCTGCTGCGGCTTTTGATAAGCTCTTAACCTCTTTGCATTTTAATTTCCTCATCTTCAAACTAGGAGTTAAGCAATGGCCGTGTCAAAGTGAGATGATACAGGGAAAGACCCACTGAGCATCACTAAGTACACAAGTGTACACATAAAGGCCGATGACTCCTCCCTGAGTGTAGTGAGCTGCATAACAAACCCGATTGCCTAGATCTTCCATATTTCCCATAGGTCCACCTAGACGACACTGACTCTCCTCCAGAGCTACCTGTATCCCTATATCCTTCTCCCATACTAGAGGTCCCGTCTGGGAAAGACACTGGTCAAATCCTTCCCTGGTTTAAAAAAAAACATATATATATATATACACACACACACAAATATCTCCATGATGAAACCCAGCCACATAAGCAATGGACTGAAATAACAGTCTTAATAAGGATGGTATTAACTAACGCACACTGAATATCAACCACTGGATGTTACACACACCTCTCATGTAATCCTTTCTCTCACCCTATGTGGCAGAATTCCCTATTATCCCCATTTCACCGACAAAGATAAGGGAACTTGCCTAGACACTGCCTGAGAAATACTAGCTAATGATCCAAGCTCTCAGTGATGTACATGAAGGATCTGAAGGCTGAGCTTTAAAATGGGAAACACAAAGGAATAAGGCAAAAATTCCAAGAAATGGTTCTAGAAGTAAAATAAGTACTTGGAGATCTTTTGATGACTCTCCCTTGGATAATACCTTCCACCACGTCCACCGTTGTGGACTCAGGTGTTGTCAGCCTCATCTTCTGTCATAAAGTTCCCCTTCACCCACCACGTCAGCAGCCACTGATGATCATTGCCCAGATGCATGATTTCATTAGTGGCTGCAAAAGGGTGAATTCCAGCATTCCCTCTGCTGGAAATCTATGAATAAAAATTTTCCTTCGTTGGCAATTTGCTTAGTTTGGTTACACTGGTAACAGTGTATATAGAAATTCCTTTCATTTACTAGTTCCCAGAATAATGAATTCCCTCCCTAGCATCCTTCAAAGGTGGCCAGTGAGGGGTCTGTTTTGTGTTAGTTTGGTTTTGAGAAGCACTATCAGCTCTTTGTGTGTGTGTGTGTGTGTGTGTGTGTGTGTGTGTGTGTGTGTTAACACATCAGAAGTGCTTCAATAGACTAGAATTGCCCTTTTTGATGCTCACTGTTCCATCTTCGGCCAGTAGCGGTCTCTTCAACGTGGTGCCTCGCACCCAACCCCAGTGGTCTTTCATAGCACACTTGCTTCTCTGACATGAGAAAATATTCTAGGCCCATCCTATTCATTTGCTGCCCTGGCCCTAGAATCAGCCATTACTCCAAGGAGCCATGGATCTTTTTGGTGGCCAATGGAGTTTAGAGACCACACTCTGGGTGCCAGGAATGCTCATTACTCTTCAGCTGGTCATTACTTCTAGGTCTTTAGAGTGGAAATAGCTAGGAAAAACTTCTAAAAGGAAATACATTGTGAGTTCATACTGATTTTTTCCAATTCAACTTTGGGATCACAGAGCTTTTAACTTAAGTGCTTGATTTGACATCTCTATTTTTTCTTATGCTGAAAATCCTGATTCCTACATTAGTAACATTATGTCTTTGCTTTATCCTAATATTTATTTCAAATTCAGTTGAAATATCATTACTAGCAACATGATTACTGAAAGCTGCCTACAATTTTCAGAGTTCATTTTATCCTTAGGATATACCTACTAGGGGCATACCTAAAACATTGCTGTGCTTTAAAGTCACTTGAAATAATTCCTTTCTGAGTAGTGAAGTCACCAACTTAATACACAGGTTTATTTGTTTCATTTTGCTTTTGATTTTTAAGAATTGCTTTGCTTTTTCTTTCCTATTTGATATAATCTTTTATAATGATGCAAAAACCGTCACATGGTTTTCAAGTCAAAGTAAAAGGCAAGGTACATGAAATCTAATTCTCACTCCATCTCTGTTCATTCTTTCAATCCTGATCTCCTCCTCCCCCAGAACTAACCATTTTATATTTGTTCTTAGTTTATTCCTCTATTTAGCATAAGCAAGTATTGATTATATTCATTTTCCTCACTTTTCATAGATAAGAGTAGCATGCCATACCTGTTATATATATTTTACTTTTTTTTCCATTGGGGTTCTCTCACTCCTTTTATAGCTTTATAGGACTCTGTGCATGACCACACCACAGCATATCCAATCAATCTGATATTGATAGGACTTGGGTTGTTCCATTCTTTTGTTACTAACAGTATGGAAATGAACTTTTCCCATAAATCTCAGGTGATTCTCAATCCCCCTAAAGGGAAACAGCCCAGAATTCCCACTCCGTGTAACAGGCAACAATAGACTGCATTGCCCACAGATGTGGTTTCAATCCAGGGTCCACATAACTTTGGAGATACATGAAGTCTTTCCAATGGGTACCCAGGCAAGGACAGTTTCAAAGGACTATGCAGATTCTCAACTCCCGTATGGATTTTTCCTAACGCTGAACTGAAAATCTCCTGTGGTCCAGCAATTTCTTTGCCCAATTGTGTGCATACACACACACACACACACACACACACACAGACACACCTGCCACTCTCCAAAGGAAAGGCAAATCTCTCACTCATTCTAAATCTCAGGAGAGAAAACCTACAGAAGACAAATGAATAAACTCCATGAAATATTGGCACAAGTATTGAAAACGAATGTCTCTAGTGCCTGGGAAATAAATTCTTTTGCAAGTCGAGTGGTTTCCAGTTCTTTTCAAACAACTGAAGGGGGGGACAGACCTAAAAGCATTATCAGCTGAGAGAAGACTAAAAAGAAATTTTGATGAGAGGCCACTACGTGATTTTAGGCAAATAACAAGACAATAGATCGACGAATTAAGTCACATTGCAGTAACAAAACTCCTTTCTTTCCCATCTACTGATTTATAGTGAATTACGTTTCTCAGTTCTTATATTCATGAAAATGAAACACAGGAATAGAATTGATCCTGAACCTTCCTTAATTTAGTAATAAATAATCATCAAGGAATACAGACTAATTGAAAAATATGAGATGTATTTCCAAAAATATTATCGATCTTATCTTTCATATTCATCAAAAGTTATGAGAGATATTATATATATTATTTTGATCTACTGTCTATTTCTGTTTATTACTAATAATTATAATGATAACTTAATCCAGTATCTCTTAACGTCTTAATGTCTTATGGTCATTGGACATTAAAAATTAAAGTCTTCATACATATTTTTGTCACACTAAATGATAACAGTGTGGCCAATAAAAGCTTTCATGCATAAAAATCGAATACATAAGGACAAAATTTGGTAGGGTAAGTGGAATGAAAATATAAATTCAAGAAGAAAAAGGAACCATGTGAAGCTGAGTGTTCAAGTACTTTTTCATGTGTTTAATGGATGAAGGATCAAA